TCATATATTTTTCAGCGAATTCATTTAAAATTCCACTTGGGGTATGACAGCAAGGTTACACGTATGTTCAGTTTGATATACTATTCCAGTCATATTTGAGTTTCTGCTTTGGGATTTAATATAGCTGTGTATTTTTATAAATTTTATTTGCATATTCAATAAAACAAATCCCATTTGTGATTATTAAACCCTTTTCAGAAATATAATTGGAAATATAAGGTGAACATCTGGTAATAATTACGTCAGAATATGTCTTTAACACATATGTTTTTCTCCTTCTTTTAGTTGTATCAAGGAGGTTTAATTCTTTACAAACAAAACCAGCAATACAATGTATGAGTACTTCGGTGATCTTAAGTACCATTGGAATGAAACAGGAATAGAGTTATCGTTCCTGTTCGAAGTAGTTCTGATGTTCATACGCCAATATGAAATCCTTCCAGAGGGGCACGAGTCGCTATTCGGCTTGTCTCGGAATAACACGAGTTGGTCACGAATGGATCCCTGGGTCGAACATGAAAAATGGTATCCAGACTGTCCGTATTTGACCCTAGTTGGAGTACCTGTGGCCCACTGGGGTAAACATTTGTAACTGAGAGTGTGATATTCATTGTGTTTGTGAAACTCTATCTGTCGTTGGTAATAAATCAATATTAGAGTATTTGTGCATTGGTTGTCTATGTCTAGAGGTTGTCTTTTGTCATTGTATAACTAGCTGTTTACTCAAATACTAATCTCATTGAGATCCCAACCACGATAGGAGTAAGAGCTTGTTTTCTAGAATTATTGCAAATGGCATGGCTAGACAGTTGTTGAAATATTACGGGGTTCTAAGGTTCATGTTAATGTTCGAAGACGTTGAGGAGATTCGACACGACGTCTAGAAATGAACAGAAAACAGATTCTTACCGTCAATGTTATTATAAATATACTGAACATCATTGAAAACGCACCACCTGTATTAGTTTGGATTTCCAAGAGCATAAATGAGCAATCGATGTAATTTTTACATACTTGATTTGTAAAGAAAAGAAACAAGAACCAATCCAGCAAAACAGTGAAGTTTTAATTCAGCTGACCATGAAAGAAAGATGGAGTCAAATTGGAAACTCAGTAACGTGTATGACAACCGTTAGCAGCAACACAAGCTGTGCAACGTCTCCTCATTGAACTGATAAGTCTCTGAATAATGTTTTGAGGCAATGCATTCCACTCTTGTTGCAAGGCATTCTCAAGTTCCCCAAGGTTGTTGATCTGTGGGCGACGTGAGAGGCGTTGGCCGATGTAATCCTACAAGTGTTCAATGGGAGACCAATCTGGTGACAATGCAGGCCATGGAAGTAGAGGAATGTTGTTGTTTGCCAGAAACTGTGTTGCAACACGTGCAGTCTGCGCTCGAGCATTGTCCTGCTGGAATGTGTGCAGATCTTGATGTTGGTTAAAGAAGGGAACGGTAGTAAAGGGCATTCACACTGCCACGACAAACTACAAGAGCGGTTTTGTGATGATAACTGATCCTTCCTCACACCATAATGTTGCCCCCGATCTGTGTGCACAACACAGTCCTGATGGTAACGTTCTCCCCGTCGACGCCATACCCGTAGACGCCCGTGAAAACGTGACTCGTCGGAGAACACAACACCATGCCAACGTCGTAACAACCACAAACGATGCTGTTCAGCCCATCGTCGGCGTTCACGGCGATGTCTATCAGTCAGGATGGGTCCAACTTAAGGGCGTCGACACCGTAATCCTGCCGCATGGAGACGGCGTCGGACGGTGGAAGCACTGATCAAACCACGCCGGCCGTGGACAGCGTTAGCAGTTCTGGCAGCCGGCAACGTACGATCCCGAATATGGCGCCGAACAATGTCTCGATCTTGGCGACTGGTGGTAACATGTGCCTGGCCAGGACGTTGGCGGTCCCTAGTGGTTCCTGTTTGTTGGTACCTGTTGGCAAGTCTTATGATGGTGGAATGATGGCAACCAAATCGTCTGGCAATAATCCTGCTTGATGTGCCAACCTGCAACATGCCCAACGCCTCTTCTCGTTCCTCTGGTGACAATCTTGGCATTGCAAAATAAACTTTTCTTGCGGAGGTACTTGCGGAGGTACTTTTTTTGCCGACGGTCATTTATACCTCTAATCAGCATGTTTTACGCAGGCAATTTGTGCTTTTCGTGTGTGTTGTGCATGAATTTTGTTGTTGTCATGTGATGTGTTCCATGATGTGTTCGGGCAATCCGTTCTTTATTGCACAGCATTATTTATTGTCTTTTGTGTTATTAACAACATTTCCAACGTTCATTTTCACTCTCAAAACAGCACTCTTGAGAAGTGAGGCTAACCAAGTGAAAACCCAAGTGCGCCTGGTCCAGAATGAGCTTCTATCAAGAGACAATAGGAAATACAAGAAGATCCACGAGAAGCTTCTTAACCTCTGGACACAGTACACAGACAAGAAACTCTCAACAAGTTCAGTCCTGTCCCAGGCAGCTACTTGCTATCGTCACTGAGGACTTTGCCCTAGCCAACACAGCCAAAATGAACAGATACAATTATTCAAACAATCTACATATGCTGTTCCGACACTATACATAGACGACTAAAATATTGAAACATTTTTAAAGTTGATAATAATAATTATTATTAACCGGGTGAAACAACCTCTAAATGGGGTGAAACTGTTTAGGGTGAACCAACCTGGGTGAATCTGTGCTAGGGTGAACGTGTTTGGGGTGACATAACCCGTTACCATCGGTAAACAACCCATCATGACTTTGGCAGTGCAAATGTATCCAGAAAATTATAAATTTTCATGGACCAGTTTCAAAGGGCTGCCCAGAAACCTTATGGATACTTCTTGGTAGATCTAAAACCACAAACACGTCCCCATTTGCGACTATGTCCTAATGCATTCAGCTTCAAAGGAGACCTCCAAGCCAGGACAATTCAGTTCGAGTTAGACTTTCAGAGTGAGCAGACGTGTGAAGAAACCCTCCCAACACTGCCATCTTGTGATTACTGTGGACGAATGCACGCAAAACCACTGAAGAAACTGGTGTTCCAAAAAATTCTCAGTCGGTCCACCTGGGCTATGCCAAGTGCGACTCAAAAGGAAGTGGGAGGAAGATAACTCAGCTGTGACTGCTATGGTCAGGTGTTTAGAAATAACCACAACTTACAAAGACATTTACACAATAAACAATGTCCTGAAATGGAAAATGATGATGACGAATCTTAAGTGATGTCACAGACGACATGAAAAAAAGATATATGAAGATGTATGACCGGGAAGAGCATGGTATAAGACAAATATATTTAGGTGTGATCTAAACAAAGATTTGTTTTATGAGAAACGACAGCTGTCCAAGAAAAGAGGTCTAACAGAAGAAATGAAAGAAGACAAACTGAAGAAATTAATATGGAGCACTTTTAAAGAGACGTATGCATGATTTTTCACTTATCTGTATCATATGCAGTGGGGTCCAAAGACACAAGAAATACTGAAGATATGTATCCTGAAGTGCTTTCAAAACTGTACAAATATCAATCTTGGGTGATTTTCTTGATTGAAGATGATGAAGACATTATATCTGATACTGCCATTACAGCACCAACATTCTGATGAATTAACTTTACCAACTCTTCTAAAAACTGTTATATTTGTTTTAACAATATTCACTTCGAATTTCCAACGACTGTCTTTTGAATAAGCCGACAACGAACTTTACTATATATGCAACCCTTCAAGACATCCAGAAAATATGAATCATCATCAGCTCATCTTCATACATAAACAAACATATGTTTAATGATTTAAACTCGTAAGGTATACATTTATCTTTTCGGAAAGACTCCTCAAAATCACTTACATAAACAGAAAACAAAAAATTCCACAGTCATTCAGTCTGCAGAATTTCACAATGATTGGATATTGACAGATACATTTTCACACATGACCTTACATTAAGATGCCACGAATGAACAACTGACAAAAACTTTCCTCGGAGGCCTAATTTTGCTAACTTATACCCTAATTTACACCTCTCTATTTAATCAAAAGCACATTTAAAATCCATAATTAACCCAGTTGAAAAAACTCTCAAATTCTCATAATTGCGCGTTCATGTTACGTGCGTGCAATTTTTCAAACAATAAAGTCTACACTCACCCATTTTGTTCCTTCCTGGGAAGGAAGGGGGTCATAAATCTCTAAAAAATTATGCTTAATAATTAAAGGAAGGATAGCTTCATTGATTTTGTACATGACAAGCACTGGCTGTAGAGAAATGTCGCCACAAACTATAATTTAAAATGGCACGCATGGTATATTTTTATTTATTTAATCTTATTTTTTATTTTTATTATTTTTGGGGGTTTTTTTTTTTTGGTTGTTTTGTTGTTGTTGTTTTTTTGGGGTGGGGGGTGGGTGAGGCGGGTGTATAAAGGTTGCCTTAGATCCTATTGCATATGTTTTGGCACGCATGAAACCGCTTGGGCTAGTTTTTGTCCAGGCAATTTCTAATGGCCGCTTGCGTTCAATGAGCTGGGCTGAAAGTGGGAGCTTGGTTTGTTTAGATATACTGATATACTGATACAATTCAATTTCCGGAAGTAAGTTGGCTAGTGGCCTGTACGTTGCGAGATGCTCGGTTGGAGCCAGAAGCTGGGTTGATGTCAATGTGCCCAGTTTCTTCTTTATGTGTCTGCCTGCTGACTTCACTGACAGTGCTGTTTATATAGCAGCTTCTCCGCTGTAATGGCTGTGGCTCCGGCCATTGAATTTGTTGTGACACAGGCCACACATATCACGTGACAGCTGCCAATCTGTAATTGCCACTTTTATTAATTCACTTGTTGTGTCACAGGCCACGTATATCAACGTAACAGATGCCAATCAGCAATTGCCAGTTTTATTAATTCAAAGCAACAAGCAGACTCCTTCACTTGACATCACCAGCAATAATTTGTTGGCCGACTGGCGATCTCCATAACCAAGGCCGCCTGGCTACACAACCTCCGACCATCAAATAGTGCTACAATACTACTTGTAATTGTGAGCAGACGACTTGAGGAACAACGAGTGGACGTGCACTCTGTAGCCAAACAAATTCACCATAACCATAACCCAACTGCTCAATATATACAGTGTAGTCAGAAAGGGTCAGACTGCTGTAAATGGCGAAACGGGTCGCAATCATTGGAGCCGGGTGTAGCGGTCTCACTGCCATCAAATGTTGTGTGGACGAAAGTTTGGAGCCGTTTTGTTTTGAGCGAACTGACGAGCTCGGGGGATTATGGAATTTCACAGAAAAGGTCCGCGAGGATCAAGGATGCGTGATGAAGTCAACTGTCATCAATACAAGCAAGGAGATGATGTGTTTCAGCGACTTCCCTATACCCAAAGAGTTCCCCAATTTCATGCACAACACTCAGGTAAACACATTTATTATATCGCATGGGCCGCTGTTTGTTCACATGGAATGGGGCCCTGTGTGGGCTGTATATTTTGTTTAAATTATGTTTTATGGGTGATATGGGCAGTATGTTTATGATCGACTGAATGTTATGGAACTTGATAGAGGTTTGTTATTTCAGCTTGATTCAAACTTTGATGAACATATTGCCTGTTGGTTACAGACAGAACAAGCTAGACCCGTGAAGATCCGGGGTAGAATAGGTCTTCAGCAACCCAAGTGCTTGCCATAAAAGGCGACTATACTTGTCGTAAGAGGCGACTAACGGGATCGGGTGGTCAGTTTCGCTGACGTGGTTGACACATGTCATCGGTTCCCAATTGCGCAGATCGATGTTCATGCTGTTGATCACTGGATTGTCTGGTCCAGACTCGATTATTTACAGACCGCCGCCATATAACTGGGATATTGCCGAGTGCGGCGTAAAACTAAACTCACTCACTCACTTAGAACAAGCTATGATTGCACAATGGCATTTAGAGAGTGGTCAATTGTAACATATGTAACTTTTGGGATAATTTTGTGTGCTGGCGAATAGTTGCCTGACTCTGAGGGTGTGGGCTCGAATCCCGCATGGGAATTTGTACTTTAATAAGAAAGTGTAATCCCAAATATAACATATGTTACAGTACAAGCTAGTTTGGTGTTCAATATTCATTCTCATCAGTGTGTGACGCCCATGTCTGGTGTCCCCCGTCGTGATATAGCTGGAATATTGCTAAAAGCGGCGTAAAACCACACTCACTTACTCACTCACTCACTCATTCTCATCAGCAGCTTTTGCTGCAGCGTCTACTTCTCTTTTACCGTTTATATCAACACCACGTGTACATGTTGTTTAATGGGCTGTACCTCTAATACCGCTGAAGTTAACATCAGTATGAGAACAAATTCAGTTCATGTCATTATCATCAGTCCGTCCATGGTCCGTCCCTTTGTGGTCAACCTGCCGGTGGTCACTTCGTCATGCATTCTTTGTCATGACGTCATCAGACTGAGGGTAGTTTGATATATTGTGCACGTCTCCGCAACGTTTGACAACAATACGCCATTTATGTTTAGCAGCACACCGACCGTATATCAATTTTCAATTTATGTGACCAGGTTGCAACGTTGCATTATTGGGTGTATTTTGTCTATGTCAACAGCACCTATGCAGTTCAAATCAAGTTAATTTAATCGAGCCGTGTGTACGTGCATGCATGCATGTGTGTCTTTTTATCGGTCTATGGATCGACCCGCCGACCTTCCGCTCTCCGGATATACGCCCATCCACAAGATGGTACATGTTTTCCCCTGCCTGGCGATAGGAGATGCTATAACGCATCCATGTTAGGTATCAGCATCATATCTTAGGGGGCTAGCTCTATAAAATTGGAATCATCCCTGACTTCTACAAGTTGCTCCTATGCCCGTGCATCCTCGTCACCATATTGGTGTAAAAATCGTGAACGCAAGGCTACCTCCATTTCAGCACACCTCACTTTACCTTGCAACAAGTAACCACACCATCAGTACAGTGCTCGATGTTTCATTAAAATTCAAATAATAATGTCTATAACGATCCTTACACTTGACAAAAAAATATACGTTTTATGGAAACACTAGGAAATACTTCATGTTATCCTTTTGATCAAAGTTGAAAACAAATCACAAGAGATGAAAACAGTTTGAGTGTGAGTGGGTGAGTGAGTTAATATTTATCGTCAAACCGGCAATATTTCAGCCATACCGTTACGACAACCAATTTAACATTGCTAAGGAATAAATGTACAATTATCAAAATACATGAATTTAGCAAAGGGGGTTCCAGTTATCATATGTTTTACAGAAGAAAAAATAATGCAGCTGAGGGTGGTTGGGTGGTCCTGACACAGTCAGTCTGGTAAGGCTGATCATCAGTTCAGGTACCCTTGTCCCATCGCAGCCCAGACAGCAAATGTGGCTTCTCCCAGGAAGCACTGCTTAGTCGATCCCACCGGGAACTCTCCGGAGAATTTGGAGACTCCCCAACACTGCAGGCTCCTGTATTACTCAGATTGTCAGAAGAGTTGGAGAACAAGGGCACTCTACTCATCTGTGCTAATAGATCGGAAGGTACCACACCATGGTCACCAAGAACAATAGAGGAACCTGACGACAGTGTACTTGGTATGCAAGTAAGGCATTTCAAGAGCCATGTTTTTTCTGAATCTTGCCAAAAGGGACAGAAAATTTAATAACATATATAAATTAATTGGATGTATCAAAAAGGACAAGATCAGGTTTGTTGGAAGGAATTTGCCTCTGGCTCTGGGGGTCTATGGGTCTATTCCAGTAGTAGTAGTAGTAGTAGTAGTAGTAGTAGTAGTAGTAGTAGTAGTAGTAGTAGTAGTAGTAGTAGTAGTAGTAACAATACTAATGGTAGTAGAATTCATTATTATAAGATTTGCAGTTCATTTAGTTACAAAACAAAACCTGATACCTTCTTTGTCTCCATGGCATATTGTTTTGCTAACAAACACAAAGCCCAGCATCCATTCCCGTGGTTGTCGTGATGGCAAATTCTCGCCCTTGATTTCCATCAGCCAGTTTCATTTGCTGCCCTATTCCGCCCGACGGACCAATCAGCATGTGAGTTACATACCAGACTCAGTCAACATGGCGGCCACCCAAATTGACAACGATTGTGTTTGTGAGACATTTAATGCATAAACAAGCTATAAAAATCCCATTTTGCTTATATAGGAAGTTAGTATGTCCATTTAATTGTTGGCTAAATTGATCATGAAAATCATGCGAGATCGGGACAACCACGGAATGGAGCCAGGTGTTAGTGCAAATTTAATAAAATGCGTATACCTGTACTCTAGAGGAGGGTGATGAACAGAACACCATGACTATTCTGACGTCACAGCGTTTACTGATTCCAGGTATGGCGGTACTTCAAGATGTATGCAGATGCCTTCAGCCTACAGAAACACATCCAATACAACAAAGAGATCCTATCAGTGAAGAAGTCAAGTGACTACGACCAGACCGGAAGATGGGATCTGCAGATCAGAGATCACAAGACCGGAAGTGAGGAGACGCAGGTGTTTGACGCGGTGATGGTGTGCACGGGTCATCACGCCAGCAAGAACGTGCCGTACTTCACAGGTCAAGAGGACTTCCAGGGAAAGATAATTCACTCTCATGACTACAAGGACTGGGCCGGGTACACTGGGAAGAGGGTCGTAGTTGTCGGTGTCGGCAACTCGGGCGGGGACGTGGCTGTGGAGCTGAGCAGGGTCGGGCAGGTGAGTGTGGAATGTATGAAAGTCAGCTCTTTAGTTAGTTGGTATTGACGTAAAGTAACACGGAGGTAAGAGTCTCTATTATATGTAGCCGTCATACAGCTGAAATAATCCTAGTGTGGGTTCAAATAGATATCGGATACCAAAATATTGGATCCCACAATAAAGATGAAGACTATGTTCTTCTGTCAACAGGTGTTTCTGAGCACAAGGCGTGGTGCCTGGGTACTCAACAGAATTGAGGACAATGGCATTCCCGGCGATTTCCAAATAGGCACTCGTTTTATCAATTCAATACGACACGCTATGCCCGAAAAGACACTGAGCAACATAGTTGAGAAACAGCTGAACAAACGTTTCGACCACGAGCTGTACTCCTTGAAGCCTAAACACTCGGTATTTGCTCAACATCCTACTGTAAACGATGATATGCCCAACAGAATCTCGACTGGCTCTTTAAAGATCAAGGCTGACATCAAGAGGTTTACCAAGACTGGCGTGGAGTTCGTCGACGGGACGGTGGAAGATGATATCGACGTTATTATACTGGCTACAGGATATATATTCGGCTTCCCGTTCATAGATAAATCTGTGATCGACGTTCAGAAGAATAAGGTCAAGATGTTCAAATATATGTTTCCACCTGACCTACCGAAACAGACATTGGTGGTGATTGGTTGCTTTCAGCCTCTTGGCGCCATTATGCCCCTTGTAGAATTGCAGTGTCGCCTGGCAACCAGAGTGTTCACAGTAAGCAGTTGTCGTTTTTACTGGTTCTTTATTTGGAACAAGTTTATATCATAATGAATCACTCATTTATTTCAAACCTGATCCTATTCTGCAAAATGTAAAACCAACCGTATTATAGGACACTGCCCGAATGTTGTGTGTTTGTTTTTTAGAGTTTGCTGGGACATCTGGACCTTATTCCTTTTACTTCAAAATGGGAACTTGATTGTATACAGATAGACGCGTTAAAACCCTTTCCATACAAGAGCCTTTACTGTGCATTCCAACACATTCCATATTTCCACATTGTCATAATCTGTGTTCACCAGGGCATATGCAGTCTCCCTTCAAAGAACGAGATGTGGGCAGACATCGGGAAGAAGAAGGCGGCCATGGCGGCGAGATATGTCGAGTCCCAGCGTCACACCATCCAGGTTGACTACATCGACTTCATGGATGAACTGGCAGAACTTGTGGAATGTCGGCCGAATATAGGTGAATGATGAATTATCGCGTCTAGGTAGAATGGGAGGTTCTACACTTGAGTATGAGTATTGAGTATGTTTAATTATCTCATTTCAAGTCATCAAGTGCTGTGTCATCAACCGTCACCCCTAGTTAAATGTCTAAAACCTGTACTGAGCAAAATTGAAAACTTGACACTGTTAAATTTGGACACTTATCGTTTTCTGTTTAATCAAATACATTTATAGGAGTGGGCGATAATACCGGTTAACCGGCATATTGCAATTCGAACTTCACAATACGACATATTGCAGTACACTTTTCGCGAACCGGTTCACCCTATACGATCGGTAATTTTCGTGATGTAGTCAAAACTACTAATAACATTTATATTTCCTTTATATTATTATACATTACTAGTTTTGAGAATGTATATTTTTCATATAATTGCATTTGCATGACTTTTAAACCATATAAATAACAAAATAGATTGGTGCCGTTGTAGAAATAAACAAACCAAAATGGCTTTGTTTCGAGTTCCGAACTTTAGAGCGAAGTCTTCAATTTGAAACATTAAATATTTCAATTGATCTCTTGTAAAATCACACCTGAGTCCTGACAGTGGCCAATGGCATTGTTTCAAAAGAAGGGAAACAGTAATTTCATTGCCTTAACCCACAATATATTCAATACATGTTGTAATTCGCCAACACATATCACAATATATTAATTGCAATACGAAACGTTTGGCAATACCCAAACCTAATTTAAGTATATTAAACAATAGTAAACAGTGTGAATGCTTTAATTTCGTGAAATGTAAGTTCATGTACAAAACTTAAATTTGTAGTCTATTAAGGTGAAAAACTCGAAATGCACTTGTGAAAAGCAAATTCAAGAGGCCATGAGCTGCATTGTATGCTTCAACTGAACGCGCACATTGAATGTGAGATGGAAAAACAAATTAAACTTTTCATTTTAATCTTTGTTGGGAATTGCCACGCCTTTCAAATGTGTTGTGGGGAGGCTTGATGCTGACCAGTCTGTGGTCATTGTGGCAAGATCCTTTAATTGCTCACAACAAACAATTTTTAGTCTTATGATGAGAGTTTATCAAACCGGAACTGTTGCCGACCGCCTGATGATGGGTGACGTCAGTCCGGGGAGATCAAGCAATACGGTTACGATTATGTCATCTTCCAAACAGATTTGTTACTACAACTTCCACCAGAGGGAGATGAACACATAAGGTTAAGTCAAAGACAGCGGAATTCAGTTGTCTTCAGTGACAAATCTCTATTCACACTGAGATTTGCCCGAGTGTACCGCAGACGAGGTGAACGTCACGGTCAGATCTGAGAACGTGAAGTGGACAGATTTGGTGGCTGCAGGGTAATGGTATGGGGGTGCGTTTTGCTCCCCTTGTTGTCGTTTGAGGGAACGTACATGCTGCCCAGTACCGGTGTAAGATTTTGCAACCTGTCCTGCTTCCATTTATGCAGAGATATGGCCCAGGACTGACGTTCCAACAAGACAACGCTAGACCGCATTCGGCAGTTCTTGCACAGAAGTATCTACGGAATGGCTGTATTCAAGTTCTGGATTGACCATCGCGTAGCCCCGACCTCAATCCTATCGAACACATCTGGGACGAGCTGTGTAAACGTGTTTGTCAGCAAGTCAATGTCACCACAGACATCGCAAGATCTTCAACGCGAACTTGCAATTTTCTTGAGCAATGGCTACGTCTTCCTCGGGGTGGGTTTACTAACGTTCTAATATGGTGGCTGATTAGGGCCATCGCTTTCTCGCCTTAAAATTCGGAGGCGAGAAAGCGATATCACGAGACGAGAAAGCGACATTAGAATCTATGTCGAAACGTCGCCTCCACAGAAAAGTTGTATATCCATAATAATTGTCAATATGCTTCATCACCTCAACTTCTAAAATGCCCATCAAAGAAATAATTCAATTGGTAGGTGTGATTAAGTTGCTTAAGACAATTCGAATCCAGTCATGTCATAAAATATGTAATTCCCTTAGTCACATCACAAAATGAACGTTTCCGTTATTTCACGATATGACTATTGCATACGTGCACATTGCATGCCAAAGGAAAGTCTACGTCTGTATTAGATATTCTCTAAACGTCTAAACATACAACGCCATTCATGGGCAAGAACATTACTGAAAACGATTTAATACTATCCAGAAATTACGAATGGCGACTGAGCTCCCGTTTGTAGTCAATCATGCGCAGACAGCACTGAATTGTGGGTAATATCGAGCTTTCGAGCTCTATCGCTTTCTCGCGCAATGATAACGCTTTTTCGTCTCGTGCTATTGCTTTCTTGTCTTGTGCTATCGCTTTCTCGTCTCGCGTTATCGCTTTCTCATCTCATGTTATCGCTTTCTTGTTTCATGATATCGCTTTCTCGCCTCCGAATTTTAAGGCGAGAAAGCAATGGCCCTAATCAGCCACCATAGCAAGACGTCATGTGCAGACAGGGAAAAATTATGTGAAATATCGCTCTATCGCTTTCTCGGTCTATCGCTTTCTCGCTCTATTGCTTTATCCCTTTCTCGCTCTATCGCTTTCTCACCTTGGTATATCGCTTTTTCGCTGTATCGCTTTCTCGCTCTATCGCTTTCTCGTCTCGTGATCTTATCTGACCTAACTTGACCAACGCAGCTGACAGCGATATTACTGCTTTTTTAGCATTGGCTTGAAGGTAAGGAGCCTAGAGGGCCAAGACCCGTGAAGGTCCGGGTTAGAATTAATCTTCCCTAACCCATGCTTATCATAAGAGGCGACTAACGGGATCGGGTGGTCAGGCTCGCTGACTTGGTTGACACATGTCATCGTATCCCAATTGAGTAGACGGATGCTCATACTTTTAATCATTGGGTTGTCACTCACTCACTCACTAGGTGGGCCAACTAGTGACTGTCATCATGAACATCTATGAACGCAGTTCGGAAGCGATGACATGCGACCAGCCAAGCAACCCTGCTGACCACCTAGATCCATTTAATGACTTTATGACTTACAGATTGGAATACACACACACATAGAGATTGGAACACACACACACACACACACACACACACACACACACACACACACACACACACACACATATATATATATATATATATATATATTCGAATCTGGGCCAGATTAGAAAAGAGTAATGCTTGTCGTATGAGGCGACAAGCGGAATGTTGGGGTCAGACTCGATGTCTTGGTTGACACACGTTGCATAAATCGAGGCTCACGATGTCAATCACTGGAATGTCTGGCCCAGATTCGATTAACAGCCCACCGACATACTGCTAGGACATTTCTGAGAGTTGTGTTAAACAAGCGAAATGACACAAACAAATGATTCAATAGTCCAGAATCAATCTAAATGATACATTTCATGTCCCTGTGTGGAAACACAGAACTTAAGGTTCCTGATAGGCTATCCGATTTCCAAACAACTAACAAATCTGTTCCAGGCCGTCTTCTGCTGACTGATCCGCAACTTGGACTCAAGTGCTACTTCGGCCCCACCACCCCCTACCAATACCGCCTGAGGGGGCCGGGCTCCTGGTCAGGGGCCCGGAAGGCCATCATGACCCAGACGTACAGAATGGAGTACCCCTTTAAGACCAGACCTCTGACTGAAGGAACACAGAAGCAGTCGTCCCACAGACTCCTCACACTGGTGCTGCTAGTGGTGGTCGTTGCCGTCCTTTACCAAGTGTTCCTGTAAATGAGTTGTGACGAGTTTGTCGGGCGATTATTACTCGGCATGGATTTATTTTTTCTTCTTTTTAAAGATTTACTGAATTATACACAGATGATCATACACTTCCCATAGTGGCATTCAGGATCAGGAAACTGTAAAGGATGTCAATGGTGTACATACCCTTGACATTTTGAGCGACACTTTTTGCTGAATTAGGGGCGGGTTCCTTTCATCAACTGAAATTACTGCTGAAGTCTTAGTCTCGGCCTCAACCATTTGTAATACATGTAAACACACACACACACACACACACACACACACACACACACACACACACACACACACACACACACACACACACACACACACATACATACATACATACATAACCTTATGTGCTGGGGTTTATCTTATTACCCATACGGGCTAGGATACACAGGTGATTATTTTTGTGATAATCGCACATGTGCTTTTCAGTGATCTCAATGTTGATTGGTCAGCTAAGCAGTGAAGATATATGATTGGTTGACGGAACTACTTTTCATGATCCAAATTCATTGACAACTTATACCGTTTCATTGATAACTAGAACGTGCTGTACTCACACATTCCGAGATTTAAAAATGAAAACATAAAGGTTAAAGAATATGAATACTCTTTTTATTAGACGGTATTATTTTGCAATAAAATTGCGTTATATATAGTAGTCTTTTTAAAATACGTAACCTTAAAAAACCCAATCGTTTGTATTGTTTGTAAACAAACATGGCCGCCATCAGGCTAACCCCGATCAAGGTCAATGACCTAGTTAAAGTTGACGGTGACTTTATAGGAAGAGTGATAAGAATTTTACAGAACTTGAACTCCTACAACCTATTTGTTGTTAAAACTGAATTCGAGGAAATAGAAGCAGCAAGATACCGACTAAAGGTGTTACCTGAAAGTGTGACAAGTGAGTGTGCCACGGCGTCTATGCCATATAGAACCAGGCACACTATTCCGGGCACAAAAATGTTCAGTCAATAAACAGTTACTCTTCAGTTAATGAGCAACAACATCAATCCATCAATAAATTGTTGTCAAACCCTTGTAACTGACCACTCTGTCTCAGACTGCCACCATGACGTCACGGTGTTTGTGGCATGTCGTAAATCTTCATTCTGTACATACACTATTCTCAGGTCCAATTTAAGGTGGTGTATTCCACTTCATCATCTCGAATGACTCCTCTGTCAGTCGACCATCTGCTCCAAAGAGGTGTATTGTTCCCATTGACTCGGATTCCGACTAGAGTTGTACCATGGCTTTGCGGCGGTCTCTTTGATGTTGCCCCATGTTGTAACCTGCTAGTTACTACATGGTTTCGCCCTACTGATTCTCACTGGATAATGCTTGCTCCGACCCCTTTCGTGTGCCGAAACTATGACGCCATCGTAAACAGGTTTCGCCAGAAGGAAGTTGAGATACATTGTAGAACATAAAAACAAGTACAATGTTGACAAATTTAACACAAACCTGGACAGATAGTTGTTTACATCGGCGGATGTAAAGTCTTTGATCTCTGGCACACAAATATCTTGTCGGGATCCTCGTCATTGGTCGGATACACGCATCGCCCGCTTCGTTGTATTTCGAGTGTTCTTACTTTCAGCATCAGCTATGCGTTGCAAAATATCGTCTTCTGATGCGATTTTCGCAAATCGTTCAGTTTGAGCGGGTGGATCAACAGGATTAGTAATGTCATCAGGCCTATTTTCTTCAGAAAACGGGTCGAATTGAAGATCAAATAATCCAACATCCAGGTCAATTTGGTCTAGAACTATCACAAAGCCTTGCAAACACCTTTCCAGTTTTGTCAAATACTAAGATCAACAAGAAAGAAAGAAGATTTAGAACTATAACACTCAAGCATCACAAGCACCAATGGCGTATCAGAACAGATCGGCGATATGTCATATTTTTCACACACCTCAAATACACACTAACAAAAAAAAATAATTAAAACTATCACTATTACTTGCAAAAACTTTCACCTGATGGTATATTCCCCTCATAAAAATTAAAGGTGTATGTGAAAGATGTTTTAGAACAATAACTAGAAACACTCAAACAACGCCCTGTAGTATTTCAATGGCAGATCGGCGATATGTCATATTTTTCACACACCTCAAATACACACTAACAAATTTTTTAAATTATAAAACTATTACTATTACTTGCAAACACCTTTCACCTGATGGTATATTCCCCTCATAAAAATTGAAGGTGTATGTGAAAGATGTTTTTGAACACTAACTAGAAACACTCAAACAACGCCCTGTAGTATTTCAATGGCAGATCGGCGATATGTCATATTTTTACACACCTCAAATACACACTAACAATTTTTTTTAAATTATAAAACTATCACTATTACTTGCAAACACCTTTCACCTGATGGTATGTTCCCCTCATAAAAATTGAAGGTGTATGTGAAAGATGTTTTTGAACACTAACTAGAAACACTCAAACAACGCCCTGTAGTATTTCAATGGCAGATCGGCGATATGTCATATTTTTCACACACCTCAAATACACCCTAACAAATTTTTTTAGTTATAAAAATATCACTATTACTTGCAAACACCTTTTAACTAAAGGTATATTTCCCTTCTAAAAATTAAACGAATATGTGAAAGAAGTTTTTAGCGATATAATTTATTCTTTCTTCGCTGTGTACTGAGAATTGAAGCCAGTGAGCTACAACATGCCCACTTGAAACTTTTACTACAAAGCTACTGTACTTATACTGACACTAATAACAAGTATTTGACGCTTCCACTCACTTCGTAAATGTTCAAAGACTAGGATAAAGTTAGGTCCTCAAACTTTAAATTCAACTCCATCGCCTCACCAACTTGGGAAAGTGTAATATCATCAATTTCATCATTCCACTCATTCACGCTATCACTGCTGGGTATGGAAGTTGTTTCCACGTCCTCCATGGTTGAGAATTAATTTTTGAAAACTTGAAAGACCTAAGATGGCGCGTTTGACGTGATATTCATGACGTCATATGGTGCACTCATTTTCCCGCCACTTTTTTTTAAACACACCGCCGAAATCTCTTGGTACAAGTATGTTACCCTACCCACGACTCGAGGTTCGTATAGTTACAACACGATTTGTCCTGGCTTTTGATTGACAGGCGTAGTGGCATCTTGGGCTAAGCCCTCGTGCCCTACGCCTGTCAATCAAAAGCCAGGACAAACCGTGTTGCAACTAGACCAACCTCTCGTGTGCCAGTGGGGTAACTTTAACTTATTCTCTTGGAACTGCTGTACTCTACTGGGACCAATGACTGGCTTGACTGTAACAAGCCTTCCACAGAACAAAACGTTGTCTAATCTTCTAACTTGTTGAGTTTCTTGACAGAAAACCTTTGAAATTCCCAAAAATTGACATGTTTTTGCCAAAATGTGTTTTAACCACAGGGGTTCAAATCACTGTTTGGACAATAATTTTTAAAAATACTAATCTACATTTTTTGCGTATATTGTTTTTATATGTTATGAGTAACTTATATTTCAAATTTGAACAAAATCGACGATGAAATGGATTTTTTTTAGAAAATTCTCCCGCTACAATCATTACATAAAAAACAAGGGATTACACTCGCGATGCTTAAAACCTGATCGAAAACCGGACAGCCCGACTATTTTAACGTGCGTTCAATCAAACCTTACATTTTGCACAAAACAATGTGTTGAGCTTGTAGATTATTCTTTTGGCATATGGGGTGGCATATCTGTGTTAGGGGCAACGCCCCTCTGTGTATTTGAAGGGAATATGAACAGTGAGCGGTACACAGGTCACCGATTTCGTTCAAATTTGAAATATGTGTTACTCATAACATGTAAAATCAATATAAGGTTGCAAAAATTTAGAATTTTTAAAAAAAAATTATTGTCCAAACAGTGATTTGAACCCCTGTGGTTTCAACACTATACAGTGACACGTCACAAGACACACGTCAGTCGTGAATGAACGATGTTCCGGCGCTCTGACTTGATCAAATAACGTTTTAGCTGTTATTAAGTTGCATTTAAAGGATCATTGTATCATATTAACAAATGTTTATAAATGATTCCATAAAAAAAATAGTTTTGTTGTATTTTACAGCGATTTTACGAGGTAATATTTTCCATAGCGTAGTTATGTTATTACCGCTGAAGAAGTTAGGTTTAATACACGCATGAATACGAATCAGCTGTTTGAGGTCATAAGTCCTGTCTCCGGGTGTTTTTTTTATTTCGTGGTTCTCCTTTTAAAATTACATTTTGGGTAATAAATAGAACAACCAACTCGGTAGGAGTGATTACGGGAAATATGCCCTCGTTAAAATAATTATCAGTGCCTCGCCAAGGCTCGGCAATGAGAACATTATTTCAACTCGGGCATATTTCCCGTAATCACTCGTACCTCGATGGTTATTCTCTAAATATGTGCGGTGTGTATTTTGCATTCATTGCTGCCGAACACCTCGAGTACCAGAGTTAGGCAATTAGCCAATGCTAGATATTTAGATGACATAGAATCTAGCAGACGACAAGCGAAACAAATTTAGAGTTATCTTCCTTCCATCGATTTGCATTCGCAAAACATCGGTAATTTCCGTATATCATACGTAACTCAATTATTCGAGACTAAGAATTACGAACACGAAGTAACAAATATGAATTCCCACAGTTCGGCATTCCCAGCGGGTAACAGAAAATGTTACTTGCTTGTAAGCAGGGTACATTGTAAATAATAATAGAAGAGCGCTCAGCCAATCAGAAAACGACATTTATGTGTGAGGTAAGATAAGCATGTGTGTCCTTGTATACTTTGGGGGTTTACATTTTGGGCAGCTACAAAGTCGGGCATCATAAAGGGAGAAGGAAACCAGTGCCAAACATCATTGTCGAACCGTTAAAAGGTCGAGAGTTAAGTCAAGGGAGTCTGGACATCTTTTGATGTCATGTGTCAGTTTGTGGTTGTCTTTTTACAACTACTAACGGGTTTTCTTCTTTTACTGGCATTCTAGAAGTCGAGGAGATGAAGAATGAGGACATGTTTTATGGCTATACAACTTCTTTATTCTGTACAGGCGACGTTTCGACATAGATTCTGATGTCGTTGTCAAGCAAGTGTTGATCCAGACCATATGCAGAATCTTTGTTGAAACGTCGCCTATACAGAATAAAGAAGTTGTATAGCCATAAAAATAGTCCTCATACTACTAACGGGTTTCACACACATTTACGTCCATGTGGGGGGCAGTCTTGAGTCAAAGATTTAGCCACCTCACTCTGTGATCGGCAGGGAGACAGGTAAAGATCTGAGTTGGTGTACAGTAACCCATGCTTGTCGTAAAAGCCGCCTATAACGGAATTGGATGGTCGGGCTCGCTGACTTGGTGAAAACATGCCATCGTATCTCCGTTATATAATTAATATGTAGATCGATGTTCATGCTGTTGATCACTGGATTGTTCGGTCCAGACTCGATTACATACAGACCGCCGCCTTATAGCTGGAATATTGCTGAGTGCGGAGTTAAGCAAGCCAATTTTGATTGTGATGTAACTCGACATTATTGAACAGCATTTAAATAATGTCAATGCATGTCAGCTTAATATGGGACGGACGCCCGGACAGACGCAGGGCCGTGATGCTTACCGCATGAAACGTAACAGGAGATATCGGCGATTCGAACCCTCAATAAGCGTATCAGTGTAACAGTTGCCAATCAGTAATTGCCATTAGTGTTAATTCAAAGCAATTGGTAGACTCCTTCACTTGACAGTCATTGGTGAACTCCATGATAACCTAACCCGCCTGTCTACAGCCTCCGACCATCAGACGGCTTGAGGAATTACAACTGGACATGCACTCTATCGCCAAACAAGTTCACCATCTCAACGAAACCATGAGAGTAACGGTCATTTGTGAGCCCAACTGCTCTATATATAGAGTGTAGGTGGAAAAGGTCACACTCTGCCGACATGCCAACCGGCGAAGGCGACCTCCAAAGCACCACCACCACCAAAGGTCACACTGTCTGTCGTGCGTAGACACTGTTGACACTGGGTGTTATCGAAGGTCAGACCGCTCTGCGAACTCGTCATATTCTTGACGAGTTTTAAAATGGCGAAGCGGGTGGCAATCATTGGGGCCGGGTGTAGCGGTCTCACTGCCATCAAATGTTGTGTGGACGAAAATCTGGAGCCAATTTGTTTTGAGCGAACTGACGAGCTCGGGGGATTATGGAATTTCACGGAAAAGGTCCGCGAGGATCAAGCGTGCGTGATGAAGTCAACTGTCATCAACAGAAGCAAGGAGATGATGTGTTTCAGCGACTTCCCTATACCCAAAGAGTTCCCCAATTACATGCACAACACTCAGGTAAACACATTCATTATATCGCAATAGACGCTGTTTGTTTAAATGGAATGGGGCCCTGTGTGGGTTGTATATATTGTTCAAGTTATATTCCATAGTTCCATTGATATTGATGGTATATTTTTGATAAACTGAAATTTATGCAACCCGTTACTGATTTGTTTATCTCAGTTTAACATTCATGTATTGCCTGGTGGCTACAGTCAACACAAGACAGACTGCTGACCTCCATATGCACAAGCATGCTCATCCCGATAAAGGTTTATAGATATTGACAGTATATTTATTATCAACTGAATATTATACATCTTGTTAGTGGTTTGTTTAGTTCAGTTTGTTTGGACCGCCTCCGTGGTGTAGTGGTTAGAGCGTCCGCCCGGAGAGCGGAAAGTCGCAGGTTCGATCCCCGACCACGTCATACCAAAAGACGTTGAAATATGGTACTTGTTGGTCCCTGCCTGGTGCTTGGCATTAATGGGTACAAGGCGTGGTCGGCTCGGAGTCAGTATAATGTGTCTGAGTGGGGTATTCATGCTTCACTGCGGCATGGTATCTCAGTGGGCTAGCACTATAAAACCAGCTTCAGTCTGGGCTATTACAAGCAACCGCACATACACATACACACGCATGCACGTCGTCATATGAGTGAAATATTCTCAAGCACGACGTTAAACCCCATATCACCTCACCTCACCTCAGTTTGTTTGCAAGCGCTGATGAACATATTGCCTCTTGGTCAGTTTGGTGTTCGATATTCATTCTCAACCGCAGCTTTTGCTGCAGCATCTGCTTCTCTTTTTACCGTTCATATCAACACCGCGTGTACATTTTGTTGAAAGGACTTTGTGCCTCTAATACCGCTGAAGTTATCATTAGTAGGAATAAAAGTTCAGTTCAGGTCATTATAATGAACCTTTGTTTGTGGTATTGCTCATTGTTCCTGGCCAGTCTGTTTGTGGTCAGTCTGTCCGTGCTCAGTCCGCCCATTGTCAGTCCCATAGCCAGTTTCATTTGCTACCCTATTCGGTCTTACGTACCAATCAGCATGTGCGTTACATTCCAGGGTCACTCAAAATGGCGGCCAACCAAATTGACAGCGATAGTATTTCTTAGACATATAATACATAAACAAGCGATGAAAATCCCTTATTGTTTATATAGGATGTCAGTATGTCCATAAAAAATCTTCTCTTGTCCTTATCACTTGTCCTTATTTCGACGTTTAATTGTTCGATAAATTGTTCACGAAAACCACGGAATGGAACCAGATGTTAGTGCAGGTTAAACAAATGCGAAGACCTGTGCTCCAGAGAAAGGTGATGGACAGGACACCATGGTTATCCTCACGTCACAGCTTTTACTTTGCCAGGTATGGCGGTACTTTAAGATGTATGCAGATGCCTTCAGCCTACAGAAGCACATCCAATACAACAAAGAGATCCTATCGGTGAAGAAGTCAAATGACTACGAGCAGACCGGAAGATGGGATCTGCAGATCAGAGATCACAAGACCGGATGTGATGAGACACAGGTGTTTGACGCGGTGATGGTGTGTACGGGTCATCACGCCAGCAAGAACGTGCCGTACTTCACAGGTCAAGAGGACTTCCAGGGGAAGATCCTTCACTCTCACGACTACAAGGACTGGGCCGGGTACGCTGGGAAGAGGGTCGTAGTTGTCGGTGTCGGCAACTCGGGCGGGGACGTGGCTGTGGAGCTGAGCATGGTCGGGCAGGTGAGTGTGGAATATATAAAAAGCCAAGCCTTTAGTTAGCTGGAATTGACTTAATGCAACACGGAGGTAATAGTGGATGATTTAATTGACGGCAAGTGCTGTACCCCGACAGCATGGTTGCTTAAAATCACTTGATTGTCTGGTTGGGTCTCTATTACATATAGCCGTCATACAGCTGAAATAATCCTGGACCCCGTTTCACAAAGCTCTCGTAAGCCTAAGATCTCGTAACTTTCCTCGTAGCATTCGTACCTCCCATACTATAACTAACGATAGTGGTAGGGCTACGAGAGATTTGTGAAACGGGGCCCTGGTGCTGGTTCAAATAGATATCGGATAGAAAAATATTGGATCCCACAAAAAGATGAATGAAGACTATATACTTCTTTCCACAGGTGTTTCTGAGCACGAGGCGTGGTACCTGGGTAATCAGCAGAATTGCGGACAATGGCATTCCTGGCGATTTTCAAATAGGCACTCGTTTCTTCAACACATTTCGACACGCTATGCCCGAAAAGACACTGAGCAATATGTTTCAGAAACAGCTGAACAAACGTTTCGACCACGAGCTGTACTCCTTGAAGCCTAAACACTCAGTGTTTGCTCAACATCCTACAGTAAACGATGACATGCCCAACAGAATCGCAACTGGATCTTTAAAGATCAAGGCTGACATCAAGAGGTTCACCAAGACTGGCGTGGAGTTCGTTGACGGGACGGTGGAAGATGATATCGACGTTATCATACTGGCTACAGGCTATATATTTGGCTTCCCGTTCATAGATAAATCTGTGATCGACGTTCAGAAGAATAAGGTCAAGATGTTCAAATATATGTTTCCACCTGACCTACCGAAACAGACATTGGTGGTGATTGGTTGTTTTCAGCCTCTCGGCGCCATTATGCCTATTGCAGAATTGCAGTGTCGCTTGGCAACCAGAGTGTTCAAAGTAAGCAGTTTTTCGTTCTTTCTTGTCAATTTGGAAATGAATATAGAGTGCAAGATGTGTACCACAGGAATCAGCAGCAGTAACCTGGTCTTATTCTGTGAATGTTTAACAAAACCCAAATTTTGGACAGTATCCTAAAGCGATTGTTGCAGCAAAATGTGAACAGTATTTCATGGCATTTCGTCTTTTTCTGTGTTGACCTGGGCGGTGTGGTAACCTAGTGGTTAGGTGTTGGCACGTCACGTCGAAGACCCGGGTTCGATTCCCAACATGGGGAAAATGTGTGAAGCCCTTTTCTGGTGTACCCCGCCGGGATATTGCTGGAATACTGCTAAAAGCGGCGTAAAACTAAACTCACTCTCTCACTCTGTGTTCATTAGGGCATATGCAGTCTCCCGTCAAAGTACGAGATGTGGGCGGACATTGGGAAGAAAGAGGCGAACATGGCAGCGAGATATGTCGAGTCCCAGCGTCACACCATCCAGGTCGACTACGTCGACTTTATGGACGAACTGGCAGAACTTGTTGGATGTCGGCCAGCTTTAGGTGAGTGTTGGGTTATCTCCCGTTAGAATAGCCCTGTTGCTGTATATAGTTTCGGTGAGTGAGTATGTCATCATCATCATCATCATGTGTTGAACAATATGCATGCAAGATCACGGCAGACTCCACCACTGGGCTAAGTGACCCCACGTGACCTTGGGTAAGGTCATCGCTACATTGGCATCTACCATTTCGCTGTTTACATCATTGCGCCTTACCGACTTCTGTCCTCACCACCATGGCAAATGGTGAAACCACAAGTCGATCTTACCCTCACCAAACTCAAAAAGTCTGAAACAAATCCCTTGGTGTTCCAACAGGAACACAACCAGTTACGTTCGAAGTATAACACTCACAGATCCATCTTCACAGACGGATCCAAGGACGATGGCCAAGTTGCCAGCGCTACAGTCATTGGAGCCAAGACTGTCTCCTCTAGGATCCCCGACAACAGTTCCATTTTCACCGCTGAAACCAAAGCTATCTTCTCAGCTCTGACCTACATTCAACAGCAAAATCAGTCCAAAAACTTCATCGTATTTACAGATTCATTATCCTGCCTTCAAGCACTTCTAAACGTGACTTCAAGTCAACCAATCATCCTGGACATATTAGAACTGTACAACGACCTTTCTACTAGCCAATATGACATCATCCTCTGCTGGTTGCCGGGTCACGTCGGCATAGCAGGTAACACCAAGGCCGATGCTGCAGCAAAAGCAGCTCTTGAAAAGCCCCTATCTCCACTGCTAATCCCGTACACTGATTTCAAACCCACTATCAAAAGCTATACTCGGGACTTGATGCAAAAAAAGGTAGGACACTCAAGTAGGAAGAAACAAACTCCATGAATTGAAGCCAACAATCGGTTATACCTACTTGGGTTGCCAGTCAAGACGTGATGAAGTAATTTTACGACGATGTCGTATTGGCCACAGTCGGTTTACACATGACTATCTGCTAAAAACAGATGGGGATGGACCCCCCCATATGTCTCTCCTGCGATGAGGCTCTCACCGTCAAACATATTCTGCTTGACTGTATGGATTTTACATCTGCAAGGGACTCGCATTATCACGCAACCAATCTGAAAGATCTGTTCTCCAGCGTGAGCGCTCATCTGATACTAAACTACCTGAGGGAAGTCGATCTATATCATAAAATGTAACTGTGTAATGTCAATAACGAATGTATCTGCTTTTCAATCTAGTGCTATGACATTCTCTGTTCTAAAATGACAACGTAATGAATGTATGTCTTTGAAACGAAACCACTTTGTACTTACAATGTATATTAATGCAGACTTGTTCTCGTCACTATATGGCTGGAATAATGCCGATGTGACGTAAAGCCCAACTCAACTCAACTCAACTCAACTCAACTCAACCTGATCTGACCTGACCTGACCTGACCTGACCTGGCCTGACCTTACGTTCCCACCTCTCGCTAATCGACCATTGCCGAGAGAAACATGACGCACAATATTGTTGGCCTTTGGCCAACGCAGGTGGCATCGTTATTACAGCTTTTTAACATCACCCTGAAGACAAACAAGTGACTGACATCATGAGCATCTATGATCGCAGTTGGGAAGCCATGACGTCTAATATATATATATCATAAGTTGTATGCTTCCCTCGAGGGGAATACGGTCTGATGTACGCCTGACACTGCTACGAAAGGGCGTACATCAGACGGTATTACCCGAGGGAGAAGCTTACAACGTATTTATCTTACCGCCATGTTAAATTACAAACTATCATTTTATTTTATTTTGAAGATCGCAACCGACTATATGACATGTAAACAATATGGGGTCTGCCACTCGACTGGACACATGACATCACTGAAACATATTCTGACTAGCTTAAAACTGCTATAAAAATGATCAGTTATGTTCAAGTTCAAACGATTCAATGTATAAAATAGTTTAAATAAAGCAGTGAAAGTCGGTAAAAGAAATGTGTACATAGTGAACTCTAAAACAGTTAATCGGACGGTTTTCGAACTCTGTGCTCTGCATGCGTCATCTTGTGACGCCATACGACATTCGTCACCACACGCTCCTTTCCGTAACCTCCCAAAAGACTTGCTCCCCTATCGATGCTTGTTATGTGCGAAAATACGACAAACCAATCAGAACGTGGTTTGATAAAATAACACCGAGTAATTAAATCGTTTATGGCATTATGGCATTGTTTAAAAAATCATGAACAATATACGTCGTCATATTGAAAGTACAAAGAACGTAGCTAACAGAATTATGCTGCCTCGTGAAGTTTTTGATAAGAATAATGCGGTTGACGGTTAGAGATTCATATACACGCACGTGCGTTTGTTTACATAACGGCTCTCATTGACGATCTTTACCCCTGAAGGTCCGGTTTAGAATGTTAATCTTCAGTAACCAATGCTTGTCGTAAGAGGCGACTAAGGGGATCTGGTGATCAGGCTCGCTGACTTTGTTGACACATGTCATCGTATCCCAATTGCGCAGATCGATGCTCATGCTGTTGATCACTGGATTGTCTGGTCCAGACTCGATTATTTACAGACTGCCGCCATAAAGCTGGAATATTTCTGAGTGCGGCGTAAAACTAAACTCACTCACTCACTGACGATCTTTCGGGCTTGTTCTGGGGTGCGCTTCCAACAGTTTTAGAAAATGTAATTATCAATCGCTATGAGTTTCAAAACTATAATGTTATATCTGTATGTAACTAATCATCTTTAATCTTTAACATTAAGCATATATTTCACATCTCTGCGAATATTTTGGTCTGACTTTTTCTTGGTCATTCATTATGATATATTTTTCAACGAATTCATTTAAAATTCCAATTGGGGTATGACAGCAAGGTTACACGAATGTTAATAATTACGTCAGAATATGCCTTTAACAAATATGTTTTTCTCCTTCTTTTAGTTGTATCAAAGGGGTTTAATTCTTTAAAATAAATAAGCAAAATTAAAAACAATACAATGTACGGGTGCTTCGGTGATATTAAGTACCATTGGAATGAAACAGGAATAGAGTTATCGTTCCTGTTTAAAGTACTGTAGTTCTGATGTTCATGCGCCAATATCAAATCCTTCCAGAGGGGCACGAGTCGCTATTCGGCTTGTCCCGGAATAACACGAGTTGGTCACGAATGCATACGATTGTTAGCGATACAGCTTCTCGGCGGAGAGTTTTGCGGTCACCGTGGCAGCAGGAAGAATTTTTCCAGTTGTCACCCTCCTGGGAGGGGTGACACGGAAACTTGTTAAAGCGTCATTGACCAATGAAATTAAAGTATTTTACATGAAGGTAGGATAAATACATATGTATCCGGAGTAGAATATGTCACTGGAATGTCTGGCCCAGATTCGATTAACAGACCACCGACAAATGATTCAACAGTCCAGAATCAATCTTAATGATGCATTTCATGTCCCTGTGTGGAAACACATAACTTCCTGATACTCTCCTGAGATATATACACATGTGTGTGTGTGCATGTGCGTGTGTGTGCGTGCGTGCGAGCGTGCGTGCGTGTGTGCAAAAGATGAGTCCAGATATTTCTTCTTGTCAAAACTCTTTATCTGCACAAGGTCTTTCCGTTCAACAGCTCTTCAAGCGTACAATAAGGATTATTGGGACTTAGTTTCCATTGCACCATAATGAAATAATGTGGGTACACTTACGTACATGAACATATGTATACTTTGTTAATTAATTATGGGGGTTGTTTAAAAGACATCACCTATCTCAGATTTCCAAACATCCAACAATTCGTTTCTAGGCCGTCTTCTGGTGAGCGATCCGAAACTTGGACTCAAGTGTTTTTTCGGCCCCACCACCCCCTACCAATTCCGCCTGAGGGGGCCGGGCAGGTGGTCGGGGGCCCGGGAGGCCATCATGACCCAGACATACAGGATGGAGTACCCCTTTAGGACCAGACCTCTGCCCGAAGGTACACAGACACAGTCGTCCCACAGACTCCTCACACTGGTGCTGCTAGTGGTGCTCATTGCCGTCCTTTACCAAGTATTTTTTTAAATGAGGTGTGACGAGTTTATAGAGGAATTTTTACTCGGCGTGGCTTTTTTCTTCTTTTTAGATATTTACTGAGTATAGACAGATGGCCATACACTTCCCGTAGTAGCATTCAGGATCAGGAAACTGTAAAGGATGTCCATGATTTGTTTGAGTGGCATTCTAGAAGTTGGTGGTGCAGGGTTCACAAACTGACTGACTGAGTTTAGTTTTTACGCCGCTTTTAGCAATATTCCAGCAATATCACGGCGGGGGACACCAGAAATGGGCTTAACACATTGTGCCCATGTGGGGAATCGAACCCGGATCCTCGGCGTGACGAGCCAACGCTTTAACCACTAGGCTACCCCACCGCCCCTGGGTTCACAAACCTTCATGGATGATCAACTTCTTTATGTTTACAATAGCGACGTTTCGGTATAGATTCTTATACCGTTTTCAAACAAATGTCGTTATTGTGAAAATAAAGAAGTTGATTATCCATGAAGCTTTGTCATCTCAAGGATGTCTATGGTGTATATATCATTGACGTTTTCAGAGACGCTTTTTTGCCAAACTAGGGGCAGGTCCGAGAACGGGTTCCTTTCATCAACTGAAATTACTGCTGAAATCTTAGTCTCGGCTTTAACTATGTATTATAACTTTGAGTATCTTATGTAAATTCTTTAACTTGTTTTGGGCAGTACATAGGATTGCTATTGCTAATGTTTTGACACGAAAATGTGAACATGTTTGTGGATGGGGATTAGAGATATGTGGAAGCTTTTTGCTACCAAGATATGAATTCTGCCTCAGGTTATATCGGAAACACCAAGTTCACTGTCAGCGTTGCATGTGGCTATTTGGTGGCCCGATCCATGTTTGTCCGTTTTTGTACCTACGACATATTACATTATATGTTGTTGTTTATTCTATATGTGCGCTGTGTATTTTTACACACATTGCTGAATCGAACAAAAACGTGATTTTTACATTGATTTCTATTTGCTTGTATTTGTTTGTTTTGTGAGTGGTTTACAATTTGGGCAGCTACAAAATCGGGCATTATAAAGGGAGAAAAAAATCAGTGCCAAATGTCATTGTCAAACTGTTAAAAAGCCGCGAGTTATACTCCACGGGACAGACCGCCTCCGTGGTGTAGTGGTTAGAGCGTCCGCCCGGCGTGCGGAAGGTCGCGGGTTCGATCCCCGACCGCGTCATACCAAAAGTGTAATGTGTCTGAGTGGGGTATTCATGCTTCACTGCGGCATGGTATCTCAGTGGGCTAGCACTATAAAACCAGCTTCAGTCTGGGCTAGTACAAGCAGCCGCACATACACATACACACGCATGCACGTCGTCATATGAGCGAAGTATTCTCAAGCACGACGTTAAACCCAATTCCATCACCACTCCACGGGACAGCAAGTCAATGGAGATAAGCACTGAACGTGCGGTCGACCTGGATATCTTTAGTTGTCGTTTTACAACTACTAACGGGTTTCACACATATTTACCATGTGGGGATTGGCCTCGAGCCAAAGCTTTAGCCACCTCAGTTTGTTATGGAGAGACTCGTGAAGATTAATATTGGTCTTAAGCAACTTTGATAATATCGTTTTATAATAGCATGCTAGTTTTTACTTTAATAACTGTGATATACTAGTAGTTTTACTGTTCTTCGACAACAGACTTTTAATTTCTAATTGTATAATAACAATAATTGTTCCCGTCACGATGTGGCTGAAATATTGCCGATGTGACGATAAATATTAACTCACTCACTTAAGCAACCCATACTTGTCGTAAGAGGCGACTACTTGTTTTGGATAATCAGGCTCGCTGACTTGTGGAAACATGTCATCATATCTCAGTTATGTAGATCGATGCTCATATTGTTGATCACTGGATTGTCTGGTCCAGACTCGATTTATTTACAGACCGCAGCCATATAGCTGGAATATTGCTGTGTGTGTGGCGTTAAGCAAGTAAAATTTAATGGAGATATCACTCCATACTGTTGCTGTTTAACATTTGAATAATACCAATGCATGTCTGCTTAATATGGGAGGGAACCCCAGACTGATGCAGGGAACCCCAGACTGATGCAGGGTACCCCAGACTGATGCAGGGTACCCCAGACTGATGCAGGGAACCCCAGACTGAAGCAGGTCTCAGATGCTTACAGCATTAGCCATAATAGGGGAAATCGGGAATTCGAACCCTCGATGTTTGGTATCCGGCTTGTCCAAGGGACGCAACTCTGTACAGCGACTTTCATTTCCAGAAATTGTTACAACCTTTTCGAGTGATATCTTCGACAGAAACTTAAACCATGTTATAATACCATGATTCATAATTTTGTATAGTTCAATTTCACTTGTTAAATTGCACGCTTAAAATGGCCAGTGACTTCCTGACTCAGAACCAACAACGTGATGGTATTATAAGTGTTGAATATGTCAGACAATGTTGTATGTTTTGAGACAATAAATAAAAGGCATGTGCCGTACATTGTATGTACTGAGAGTGAGTAAGTAAGCCACTTTTAGCAATATTCCAGCAATATAACGGCAGGGACACCAGAAATGGGCATCACACATTGTACCCATGTGTATATATATATTCGCAGCATGTTAAGCGTGCTCATCTTGTTCAAGTGTTATTCAGACTGCGTTATACAGTGTTATACAGTTAAGAGTGCTCACCTTGTTCAAGTGTTATTCAGACTGCTTTATACAGTCGTTTTACAGTTCACTGTGCTCACCTTGTTAAAGTGTTATTCAGACTGCGTTATACAGTGTTATACAGTTAAGAGTGCTCACCTTGTTCAAGTGTTATTCAGACTGCGTTATACAGTGTTATACAGTTAAGCGTGCTCACCTTGTTCAAGTGTTATTCAGACTGCGTTATACAGTGTTATACAGTTAAGCGTGCTCACCTTGTTCAAGTGTTATTCAGACGTTATACAGTGTTATACAGTTAAGCGTATATCTTGTTCAAGTGTTATTCAGACTGCGTTATACAGTGTTATACAGTTGTGCTCACCTTGTTCAAGTGTTATTCAGACTGGTGTTATACAGTGTTATACAGTTAAGCGTGCTCACCTTGTTCAAGTGTTATTCAGACTGCGTTATACAGTGTTATACAGTTAAGCGTGCTCACCTTGTTCAAGTGTTATTCAGACTGCGTTATACAGTGTTATACAGTTAGCTGCGTTTGTTTCGACCACGTCTATAACCAACTGATGCATACAACGAATCCAAATAATACATGGTCCCTTCGCGTTTGTTACTGTAATAAAATCACTAATGGTTTTGTTTTCGTTATCATCTTGAGTTTATAAATTGTTTATAAACTACCTGTTTGTTATTTTTTGTCAATGCGCCTTAATGAAATCGGTTTGTCCATATATATATATAATTCATATTTCTGTTTTAAGGGTGTGGGTTCAGCCCTGAAATATTTTGAAAATATTCGAGTTATACCCTCCGAGTGAGGTGTTACTGAGCGAGGCAGTTCCTGCACGAAGTGTTACCTCTCGAGTGAGATATATATTCAAGTCTATTGTATTTTTAACTAATATAAATCTTATATCCCCCTGAAGCGTGGAGGAAATGTTTAAATGCAGTTCGCCTTGTCCAGTAGGTCATTGTTCGCACAAGGCTACGTATATTATCTGCCTATCCGCCTCAATATGTTTAATGCAGCGTATAGTATGTGTCGTCACACTTAGACCTGGTTCACGGTGTCAGGAGTTGAAAATCGGGTATGCGCTCTACCGCTAAACTAGGCTGCATTTCAATGAATCCGACAGAGTTACTGGCCGTTGTGTGCCAGATCGCACGTAGAGCACTCAAGACTGCCAGTGATATATGTTCAAAGTCCACTCGTCGTATCGTATTAAATGCTCAGTCGGTCAAATTCAAAATGGCGAAGCGGGTGGCGATCATCGGGGCTGGGTGTAGCGGTCTCACTGCAATCAAATGTTGTGTAGATGAAAATCTGCAGCCGTTTTGTCTCGAGCGAACAGACGAGCTCGGGGGATTATGGAATTTCACGGAAAAGGTCCGCGAGGATCAGGGGTGCGTGATGAAGTCAACTGTCATCAACACAAGCAAGGAGATGATGTGTTTCAGCGACTTTCCTATACCCAAAGAGTTCCCCAATTTCATGCACAACACTCAGGTAAAGGCTTTTCTCTGATCAAAAGAACCGTTAAGCCTTGGGGTTATCCACAACAAAAGGGGCCCTGTAGGGGTTTCATGTTTTCTTGAATTTATAGTCATAGTAATATTCACTAAGAGGATAACACTCATGTTGGTGTAATTGTAGGTTCGGCTGAATATTGTACAGCTTGTTAGTGGTTTGTAAACCCCAGTTACGTATTGTTCATTATGTACATAATATATATTAATTATGGGATTTATATATAGTTTGAAATCGGATCTGAAGGAGACTAACGTCTTGAATTGATTTCTCAGTAGCAGCTTTTGGGGCCGTCTAATACATTCTAAACCAAAATATGGCATGGAAGACAACACAAAACACAAATCTCAGCACAAATTGTGAGTGAGTGAGTATGGTATTACGCCGCTTTTAGCAATGTGCCAGCAATTTCACAGCGTTGGACACAAGAAAAGAGCTCCTCTTTTTGGCGTGAGGAGCGAATGCTTCATTTCGCCGATCTCTCCCCATTTTACTTTATCTTCGCCAAAATACGAGCGAAGGCTTTAACCACTAGGCTACTCTCAAACGGCGTTCAGCTATATGGTCATGCAAACAAATGACCCACATTCAGATATATAGTAATCCATTCACATGACCGACATTCATTTATATAATAATGCATACAAATAACCGACATTCATCTATATAGTAATGCATACAAATAACCGACATTCATCCATAAAGTAATGCATACAAATAACCGACATTCATCCATATAGTAATGCATACAAATAACCGACATTCATCCATATAGTAATGCATAAAAATAACCGACATTCTTCTATATAGTAATGCATACAAATAACCGACATTCATTTATATAATAATGCATACAAATAACCGACATTCATCTATATAATGATGCATACAAATAACCGACATTCTTCTTTATAGTAATGCATACAAATAACCGACATTCATTTATATAATAATGCATACAAATAACCGACATTCTTCTATATAGTAATGCATACAAATGACCGACATTCTTCTATATAGTAATGCATACAAATAACCGACATTCTTCTATATAGTAATGCATACAAATAACCGACATTCATCTATATAGTAATGCATACAAATAACCGACATTCATCTATATAGTAATGCATACAAATAACAAACATGACATTCATCTACATATATGGTAATGCATACAAATAACCGACATTCTTCTATATGGTAATGCATACAAATAACCGACATTCATCAGATATATAGTAATGCATACAAATAACCGACATTCTTCTATATAGTAATGCATACAAATAACCGACATTCTTCTATATAGTAATGCATACAAATAACCGACATTCATTCTATATAGTAATGCATACAAATAACTGACATTCATCTATATAGTAATGCATACAAATAACCGACATTCAGATATATGGTAATGCATACAAATAACTGACATTCAGATATATGGTAATGCATACAAATAACCGACATTCTTCTATATGGTAATGCATACAAATAACCGACATTCATTATATAGTAATGCATACAAATAACTGACATTCTTCAGATATATAGTAATGCATACAAATAACCGACATTCATTTATATAATAATGCATACAAATAACCGACATTCATCTATATAATAATGCATACAAATAACCGACATTCATCTATATAGTAATGCATACAAATAACCGACATTCATCTATATGGTAATGCATACAAATGACATCGACATTCAGATATATAATAATGCATACAAATAACCGACATTCAGATATATATAATAATGCATACAAATGACTGACATTCAGATATATGGTCATGCATACAAATGACTGACATTCAGATATATGGTCATGCATACAAATGACTGACATTCAGATATATGGTCATGCATACAAATGACTGACATTCAGATATATGGTCATGCATACAAATGACAGACATTCAGATATATGGTCATGCATACAAATGACAGACATTCAGATATATAGTCATGCATACAAATGACTGACATCCAGATATATGGTCATGCATACAAATAACAGACATTCAGATATATAATAATGCATACAAAAAACTGACATTCATTTATATAATAATGCATACAAATAACCGACATTCATCTATATAATGATGCATACAAATAACCGACATTCTTCTATATAGTAATGCATACAAATAACCGACATTCATTTATATAATAATGCATACAAATAACCGACATTCTTCTATATAGTAATGCATACAAATAACCGACATTCTTCTATATAGTAATGCATACAAATAACCGACATTCATCTGTATGGTACAGTATAGGAATGACTGACATTTATTGAAGCTCATTCTATCTGATATGGTACTGCATACGGGTGAAGGTCACATTCGCCACAATCGTTTTCTCCGGGTTGAATGAATTTAGACTGCTTTATCCCGATTGAAGCAAACGGCGCCATCACCAGTACAGTCCTCGGAATAATATCGCTAATATCTATCTTTTCAGAACGTACCACTGCCCTCAAAATAATGTAACATGTCTGTGTGTAAAACGTCTTAAGAATTGAAGTTCATTTTGTTCCAATACCTAATTGATAATTTAAACAGACAACTCATCTGGTGTTCGGCAGGGTCTCATGTTTCTATTCACTCCAGGTATGGCAGTATTTCAAGATGTATGCAGATGCCTTCAACCTGACAAAACACATCCAATACAACAAAGAGATCCTGGCCGTGAAGAAGTCAAGTGACTACGAGCAGACCGGAAGATGGGATCTGCAGATCAGAGATCACAAGACCGGAAGTGAGGAGACACAGGTATTTGACGCGGTGATGGTGTGCACGGGTCATCACGCCAGCAGGAACGTGCCGTACTTCACAGGTCAAGAGGACTTTCAGGGGAAGATCATTCACTCTCACGACTACAAAGACTGGACCGGGTACGCTGGGAAGAGGGTCGTAGTTGTCGGTGTCGGCAACTCAGGCGGGGACGTGGCTGTGGAGCTGAGCAGGGTCGGGCAGGTGAGTGGGTTGATGATATTTAATGTCAACTATATATTAGGCTTTATTTAGTTGGAAGTGAAATAAGATGTAAGATTCGATAACGTAACTGATTACGTTCCTTGTGCCTCGACGGCATGGATGCTCAAAATCACTGGATTGTCTGGTGTTACTGGAGTGTTGATGACATTAAAAGCCATAAAGCTCTTGTAAGCCGAAGATCGCGTAACTTTCCTCGTAGCATTCCTACCTCCTATACTGTAACATCGACTTACGATAGTCGTAGCGCTACGAGAGCTTTGTGAAACGGGACCCAGCTCTGTATTTGACTCTGTACCACTGAATTCACGTTATATGCCGGGTGGAGAGTGTTATGAGAGGGGTGTCATTTTGGGGTGAGGGGGCAGTATGATATTCCATATACCATGTGCAACTCAAAAGAAGTTAAGGAAACCAAGACCTTTTCATACGACTATGCACTTCGTTTGTCATCTCTGGTTGATGTTGCAAAACAAATTGTGGGTTTTCGTACATTTGTTTTGAGTCGTACATATGGAATCCTGTTTTTCTTTGCCATGAAAAATGTCTTCATTTGAATCTAATTTTGAGTGCACTATCCTTGTACGAGTAAAGTGAGCGAGAGAGTGAGTTTAGAAATGGGGACGCCAGAAATGGGTTTCGTTTGTCATCTCTGGTTGATGTTGCAAAACAAAATTGCGGGTTTTCGTACAGTTGTTTTAAGTCGTACATATGGGTATTCTGTTTTTCTTTGCCATGAAAAATGTCTTCATTTGAATCTAATTTTGAGTGCACTATCCTTGTACGAGTAAAGTGAGCGAGAGAGTGAGTTTAGAAATGGGGACGCCAGAAATGGGTTTCGTTTGTCATCTCTGGTTGATGTTGCAAAACAAAATTGTCGGTTTTCGTAAACTTGTTTTGAGTCGTACATATGGGAATCCTGTTTTTCTTTGCCATGAAAAATGTATTCATTTGAATCTAATTTTGAGTGCACTATCCTTGTACGAGTAAAGTGAGTGAGAGAGTGAGTTTAGAAATGGGAACGCCAGAAATGGGTTTCACATATTGTACCCATGTAGGGAATGGAACCCGGTCTTCCGCGTGACGAGCGAACGCTTTAACCACTGGGCTACTCCACATATAAGTGTCGCGTACAAATGATCGACATTAAGCTATTACCGCCCGAGGAAAGAGGAACGTTTGATCATCCTCGGTGATTTGACGAGTTGTGTGCCAACGCTTCCCAATGGCGTGGCCCTGCTGCTAGTGTCACGTGTGTGTCTGTACCATACACTATTGCTTTTTTAGAGCGATGACAAAGATGAATATTGCTGACTCAGCGCAAAATAACATTCGCTCGTAAACACTCTGGGCATTCCCTCCGGGATCCGGGTTATAGTGGTCACCAGGAATGTATGGCTGTAGTTAGAAGAAACTTGATAGCGAACATTACTTGGATGCTGCAGCAGTCGTTGCTCACTATATCATTCACTGGACCCCACTATAAATCGTAGCCACACAACTGCGCTGTACCTAAACGTTGCGATGAAAAAAAAGACACATGTGAAGATCCGGGTTAGAATTATCTTCAGCAACCAATGCGTGTCGTAAAAGGCAACTAACCGGATCGGGTGTTCATGGCTGATACAAATCACTGTACCCAATTTGCGAAGATTGATGTTCAGGATGTCAATCACTGGAATGTCTGGCCCAGATTCAATCATTAACAGACCGCCGTCATATAGCTGTTATGTATTGCTGAGTGCGGTGTCACAGCCTGTAAACTAGAGCTATGTGTGGGTTACGTTCTAAACAAAGACGCTTCACTGGGGATTGTGAAGGTCAATCTGCACAAGATCCATGACTGTGAGTGAGTGAGGGAAGTAGGCACTGAGCAATATTCCAACCATCTGTAAATAATCGAATCTGGACCAGACAATCCAGTGATCAACAGCATGAGCATCGATCTAGGTAATTGGGATACGATGACATGTGTCAATCAAGTCCATGACAATCATATAGGTCATTTTTGCGCCTCTGATTTAGTTTCTACGATGCATGAAGACCATCTTCTTGTTTCCACAGGTGTTTCTTAGCACAAGGCGTGGTACCTGGGTACTCAACAGAATTTCGGACAAAGGTATCCCCGTAGACTTTTTGCGCTCAACGCGTTTCGTCAATAAGATCCGACACTCCTTGTCAAGGGAAACCATGAGCGGCATAGCTCAGAGACAGCTCAACAAACGTTTCGACCACGAGCTGTACTCCTTGAAGCCTAAACACTCGGTGTTTGCTCAACATCCTACAGTTAACGATGACATGCCCAACAGAATCTCGACTGGTCGCTTAAAGATCAAGGCTGACATTAAGAGGTTCACCAAGACTGGCGTGGAGTTTGTTGACGGGACGGTGGAAGATGATATCGACGTTATCATACTGGCTACAGGATATAAATTCGGCTTCCCGTTCATAGATGAATCTGTGATCGACGTTCAGAAGAATAAGGTCAAGATGTTCAAATATATGTTTCCACCTGACCTACCGAAACAGACATTGGTGGTGATTGGTTGTTTTCAGCCTCTCGGCGCCATTATGCCTATTGCAGAATTGCAGTGTCGCCTGGCAACCAGAGTGTTCGCAGTAAGCAGTTTTCTTTGTTCTGGTTAGTTGCGGGGAAATATATATACTGGAGTGAGTGAGTATGGTTTTACGCCGCTTTAGCAATGTTCTAGCAGTATCACGATGGGGGACACCAGAAATGAGCTTCACACATTGTGACCATGTGGGGAATCGAACCCTGACCTTCGGCATGACGAGCAAACGCTTTAACCACTAGGCTACCCCACCGCCCCCTATCTACTGGAAAATATGGGGCACAATATCTGTTCGATTAAGCGACAGTGTCCGTATGTTCTATTGAACAATAGTTTACAGAAAGCATCTGCACCATATCCTTTTCACCTCAAAATTGTAACAGAACATTGTACACCGGTCTTTTATGTGCCCTGCATAGTATTCCAAACGTCTTGTTCTCTGTTCACCAGGGCACGTGCAGCCTCCCGTCGAAGTACGAGATGTGGGCGGACATTGGGAAGAAAGAGGCGAACATGGCAGCGAGATATGTCGAGTCCCAGCGTCACACCATCCAGGTCGACTACGTCGACTTCATGGACGAGCTGGCAGAACTTGTTGGATGTCGACCAGCCATAGGTGAGGACTGGGTTATCTCCCCTTAGAACAAAACAAGGGGGTAAGCGCAGTTGTTGGAACAGTGAAACAAATGCACGTGCAGTACGTGATGCGCGTTAACTTAGACCAACTGTACTTGTTCTCGATGTTTCATTTAATGTGCATACCCCTTTGTAATACAAATCAATAATAGCGATTTGAAACTATTATCGTTTGTTAAACAACTTTTATCCTAGGTTGAATAAAATTCTGAGATTTAAATGTTCAATTGGCAAGGTAAAATTATGAGGATTCGCAATCTTCATTTCACTTTATTTGATTTACCTTTTTGTTTAAAGTGAAATTGATCGGTACGTTTTCACTGCAAACAGACTATAGGTTGTTGGGTAAAGTTTGTAAATAGGTGAGGCGAAGATTGTCTGTCCTGCTTGTAGTTACCTGACCTTACCTGTCTAATTGACCATTGCTGAAGCAAATTCGAACTTCACGATTTTTTGTTTTGCTCACAATCATATCTTATACTAAGTCTCCACTTTTAGTTCTTGTACAAGTGTCTGTCAAGCAAACTCGTGGTTGACAACATAGGCAAATTGTGGAAGAATGATATTCAATCATTACAAATGATACTTCTTTTGCCCAGGTGAGAAAACAGATATCCTAATTTCCTTATACCTGCCTTCAGCAACCCATGCTTGTCGTAAGAGGCGACTAACGGGAGCGGGTGGTCAGGCTCACTGACTTGGAAGACACATGTCATCGGCATCGGTTCCCAATTGCGCAGATCGATGCTCATGCTGTTGATCACTGGATTGTCTGGTCCAGACTCGATTATTTACTGACCGCTGCCATATAGCTGGAATAGTGCTGTTTGCGGCGTTAAACAACAACCAAACCAAACATTATACGCTCTTTAATTCTAACCACAAAAAACTACTGTTCCTACTCTTATATCACGAACATATGAGTATGCTGCAAGATAATGAGGGACTTGTGTAGATCAGTGTTAGAATTGGTCTTCAGCAGTCCATGCTTGCCAAAGAGGCGACTAACGGGATTGGGTGGTCAGGCTCGCTGACTTTGTTTACACATGTCATCGTATCCATATTGCGTTGATCGATGTTCATGCTTACAGTCACTGCATCGTCTGGTCCAGACTCCATTACTTACACACCGCCGATATACAGCTGGAAAATTGATGAGTGCGGTGTTATTAAGTTATTTAGACGAGTCAGCCATCTCAGATTTCCAAACATCCAATAATTCGTTTCTAGGCCGTCTTCTGCTGACTGATCCGCAACTTGGACTCAAGTGCTATTTCGGCCCCACCACCCCCTACCAATTCCGCCTGAGGGGGCCGGGTATTTGGTCGGGGGCCCGGGAGGCCATCATGACCCAGACATACAGGATGGAGTACCCCTTTAAGACCAGACCTCTGCCTGAAGGAACACAGACACAGTCGTCCCACAGACTCCTCACACTGGTTCTGCTGGTGGTGTTCATTGCCGTCCTTTTACCAACTGTTCTTTTAAAGAGTTGTGACGAGTTTATAGAGTATTTTGTGGTTGTGTAAGTCTTAGTTATATTCAAAGATTTACGTTATTTACACAGGTGATCACAAACTTCGTTTCCAATATCAGGGAACTCTTTAGGAAATTTTATGGATGACAACTTCATTATCTTAAGGAACTCAACATTTCGGAGTACATTTTTACTCCTTCATTCGGTAAAATGCAAAGATTTATAAGTACCAAAAATACTTTTGTTGTTACATATAAATCTCTCTGCATCTTAGATTTCATTCATGTCTAAATACAGTTGAAATATTTGTAACAACAGCGGCAGTCCTCTGAAATCGAAATAACATTTATCTTTACCTTTCACCTTCTCAGGCAGACATATTCCAAGGTCAGGGAAAGGTCATAAAACTTGTATGATCCGGAATCAACTGGATTACTGCTGAAATCTTCGTCCCGCTTCCACCTATCGTTGATTCAGAAATGATGCTGAATTATATTTTCATTAAAATATGTATTCATGAAGTATAGGATGTTATGATATAATGTTTTAATGATATACCCATACCGGTACTTAAGATATACAAAGACAACCCCATGTTGTTTTCAATGGTCACAGTTGATTTGCCATGGTTGATTGTCACATTGTTACTGCCACACATACCCTTATAATCATGGTGTTCCTTCATATCATTCGTGAAGAACTCGTGTTATTCCGGGACAAGCCGAATACTTGCAGATTACGGAAAGGGGCGAGTGGTGACGAATGCCTTCATATGCCATCACCCGCTTTGTGAAACGGCAGATTGTAGGATGTCCATAGGCGGATCCGGCGGGTGGGTGTGGGTGCTCAACAACCCTTCGGTCCTGAAAGTTTATCAAATGACCATTGAAACTTTCGTGAAAACGGGTGACAATATGAACTGTGCACCCCACCCCACCCCCCTTTCTCATAGAGCTGTATCCGCCCCTGATGTCCGTCCGTCCATCCGGATTTCCGCTCCACGGATCGGTCTTGGGGTGAAACTGCACCTTGTGATGATTTCTAATATTGAAACATATTGATCAGCAATATACCTTTCAGTGGACGTGGATGCCCAATGTCAATTAGGGTTTGAGAAGCCGAACTTCATCAGACTAGCGGGGAATAAGTCCCCATGCGCGTTCAGTGTGGCCGTTGAATTCATCTTGCCGAATCACAACAATGGCATGACCTCTCATGATAGTGTAATCAGCAGGGCAAATTTGCATGTCACGAGACAATAGAGGAAACGTGTGTACCGTTATTCAAATGCCTGTGTTACCATGGGAACAATACCACAATTTGCATATTTTAACCAAGTCGCTCATGGAAATTTTACTTATTTTTATACGAAAATATCAAATGAAAATGTAAGCTAGAGAAAATTGTGATATCTTTAAATTTGTATTTGCTCAAATAAAACCACGACAATGTTAATGTGTTCTTTTCTTCCAACTGGAGACGTGACTGAGTATTTCAGCTCCATCACGGTAGGTAGGTTGGTTGGTTGGTTGGCTGGTTGGTTCTTTAATGCCGCACTCAGCAATATTCCAGCTATATGGCGGCGGCCTGTAAATAATCGAGTCTGGACCAAACAATCCAGTGATCAACAGCATGAGCATCGATCTACGCAACTGGGATACGATGACATGTGTCAGCCTAGCGCCACTACGTTTCGTTTCGTTTCGTTTTCTATCCTGTTCCTACTTTTGTACGGGCCATTCCCAGTTTTTGTATTAAATGTCCGGCCTCGCTGTGTCTGCATTAGAGCAATGGTGTTTTTGTTTACTGGCGTGGTGGCAGCGGTTTTACCCACGTTGGAAGACATTTACTTGACAAACAAAGTAATCCACGACACCTTTCACCTCCAGTAAGCAGTGCGATCGAGTGCCATTACGTTCTTGTAGGTCCAAGCAAACTGCGTCAATTATTAACATCGTGAGCGCCATTCAGGAATATAATGGCTGCAGCACGTGCACCCAAGCAGTGGCAGTTAACTACTAATGAGACTATCAATTCTTTCGAGAATTGGAGACAAAATCTTATTTATATTTTGTCTATGGACAATAACTTCGCACCCTTCTTAAACGATGGATTCACTTGGCAAAAGAAAAGTGCTGCTAATCCCCACAGAGGCTTACAATCTGATGGTGATTCCGTAACACAGGCACGACGTAAAACTGCTGCTCAGAAAAATGCTCAGCTTGAACTCATGCTCGGACAAATCGCGGACTACTGCTCTGTTATCTCAAGAAATTCTATCATCAAGGGTTCGACCTCTCTCCCTGACATTTGGCAGAAAATCAGACAACACTACGGTTTCCAATCTACTGGTGCACACCTAGACCTTGTTAATATTACTCTCAAGCCAGCTGAAAGACCTGAGGACCTTTTCCAACGATTAACAGCCTTCTTTGAAGACAATCTGTTAACCACAGAGGGAAACATAACACATCATGGCGAGGAAATTCTAACTGATGAGGATCTTACCCCTACACTCGAGAACACCATTGTGGTTCTTTGGCTTCAACTGATTCATCCTGGTTTGCGACGAATTGTGAAGCAGAAATATGGTTCAGAACTACGCAACAGATCTAAAGTCTGGCCTCGCCGCGTCTGCATTGGAGCATTGGTGTTTTTGTCATCTGACGTAGTGACCGAGCCTGACCACCCTGATCCTGTTAGTCACCTCTTACGACAAGCATGGGTTACTGAAGACAGATTCTAACCCGGATCTTCACGGGTCTCTCAGTGATGGCGTCAAGTCCCAAGTGGTGTACATGCACGAGCACGGACATCCTACGGACATATGGTAGAATAACAGCTTCGTCCTATCGTGAAGCAGATTTGGCTGTGATAATAGACCATCGTCTTTGCCCTGATGTTTCTTGGTTTGACAACGCAATAGCTCAAAGATTTCACCATTTTTGCGTAGTGTTAGGATTCGAAAACAATCGCGTCCTTTAGGAACGACTTGGCCCCAGATATGTGCGAATTCGAACAACATACGTCATCGATCCGTAGGCTGGAAGAAGAGTCAGCTTCTCCCGGAATAAGGGCATCAATTTTTCTATTATACCAGTGTATGAAATAAGCCAAAAACCAAGCCAGACATCTGGGCTGGTAACTTCAAAACTTACCAGCCCAGAAGGGATTTAACCAGTCCTACTTAAATACTAAATAGACACGTTATCTGAAAAAAAAATTCACCCGTCCATCGGGCTGGCTAGCTGTAAAATTAGACCGTCCGGCAGAAATCTAGCCTGTCTCGGGCGGTCGGACGGGCCTTATTTTATACACTGATTATACACGTTGGGCCACCAAATTCTGAATATGGGTCGGTCGGTCGGAGGAAAAATCAAACTTATTAAGACGAAATTATCTGAATAATGTTCTTCATTCTCATTTATTGTAATTCTTATTACAGTTTGTCGCGTTCTTTGGACTTGTGGCAGCGACTGATTATAAGATAAACAATTTATATGACGAGGCGGTACGTTTTAGGTTCGAGTCGGCGTTGTTGAAATGTAAAAACAATTGGGGTGGGGGTGGCTGGGGGGTCGGCAATGAAATTGGAAGTGTCGGCCGGGCAATGAGTAACACAGAAAATAAAAATGCTACCCTAACACGAGTTGGTCCCGAATGTTCAAAACAAACAACGGTGTGTACATTTCAGAAGCTTCGTAAAATCACTAAAGATTCGTTTAGCTGATCATTGTTAGACTACCAGGAAATCTCCGCTAAGAATGAGTTATCTGGGTTGGAAAGGGGATATCACGCGACAATGGCTCCTCTGCCAAACCACATGTGTTGCAAATTTAGATGGGAATTTGATCTGGCTTCAAACTCCGTGTTCACACTAAATCACGCTCAGTGAATGGGAGTGTGTCAACCTCAAATTAAACATTGCTATTATATATATACATGTATGTGTGTTTGCGTGCGTGCGTGTTTGAGAGAGAGAGAGAAATCTTGTACCCATCTGGTGGTCACCAGGGTCCACTTGCACACGATCCATTTTTGCTCTAAGGTGATCGTAACTCCCATACTTTAACATAGGCTTACGGTCACCGTAGCGCTACGATCGCTTTGAGTATCAAGGTGAGGTGAGGTGAAATTGGGTTTTACGTCGTGCTTGAGAATATTTCGCTAATATGACGACGTGCATGCGTGTGTACGTGTATGTATGCTGCTTGTACTAGCCAAGACTTAAGCTGGTTTATAGTGCTAGCCCACTGAGATACCATGCCGCAGTGAAGCATGAATATCCCACTCAGGCACATTATACTGACTCCGAGCCGACCAGTCCTTGTTGTACCCATTAATGCCGAGCGCCAGGCAGGGACCATATTTTAACGTCTTTTGGTATGACGCGGTCGGGGATCGAACCCGCGACCTTTCGCTCTCCGGGCGGACGCTCTAACCACTACACCACGGAGGCGGTCCTTTGAGTATCAAAGTGAGTGGTGGGATAGCTTAGTGGTTAAAGCGTTCGCTGGTCACACCGAAGGTTTCGATTCCTTGATTCCTTTCATGAGTGAAATGTGTGAAGACCATTTCTTGTCGCTCCCGCCCTGGTATTTCTGGAATATTGCTAAACATGGAATAAAGTCATACTGAAACATTCAAATGTGGAACACATCGACGAGCATAGAACCACGTGATTAGAGTAAACATATACATGCCAGGTCAGCCAGACATCTCAACATAGGATTATCTATTAAACATATCGCATGTGTGTCATACGACGTGTATATCGCACATTACAAAATAGCGTGAGTCATCTCACGCAATGACTGTCATCAGAGTAAGTAAATAGTAAATGTTGTTTAAGGCGCAAAGATATTCCATCTATGCGGGGACGGTGGGGTAGCCTAGAGGTTAAAGCGTTCGCTCGTCACGCCGAAGACCCGGGTTCAATACCCCACATGGGTACAATGTGGGAAGACCATTTCTGGTGTCCCCCGCCGTGGTATTGCTGGAATATTCCTAAACGCGGCGTAAAACCACACTCACTCATTATGCGAAAAGGCACCACGGCCAGTGTGAACCAGGCTCTCAGCTCAGACCTACACAGTGCATTATAATTTCACGAACATTGGGTGATATCAGGCTCGGGTTCGGTTCCTCCCTGTTACTGGTGTCTTCCGCCGTGACATAGTTTTAATATTGCTAGAAGCGGAATAAAACTGATTCACTCATTCACTCACTCATTCATGAAAATGTGACTAAAACATTCAGTCAACATGAAAGCAGTCCGGCCCCGTTCCCAAGCGATCGCAGTCCTACGACTATTGTAAGTTAATATACCGATAGCCAAAAGAAACTTTCTCCTCGTTCAATTTGATCTCACTTAAAAACAACAACAAGAAATCGAAGATTGCAATATATAATTTATGAAGCAATGACATAGGCACGTGCTAAGTACAAACGTACGGTTTGTAACAAGGCTGACAACTTATTGAACAGGTTATGGTCGACATGGGGTCAAACTAGAGAATTCACGATCAGTGGGTCCATTCAGGAAACACAGCAAAGCGTGAACAGAAGTCTCTAATAGCGAGTTTGTCCACCTCTGGATAGAATACATGCAGACACACGTCTTCTGACTGAAGTTGTGAGGCGTCTGATGACGTCAGCTGGGATTCGCCTCCATTCTTCGACAAGGGCTTGAATCATTTGCTGTACTGTAACTGGTGAGTTCTGTCTCCGTTGAATAACTCTATCAAGGTGGTCCCATATGTGCTTGATTGGCGACCCGTCAGGATAGCGTGCAGGCCATGGCAGGACGTTGACGTTGTTGGCGTGAAAGAAGTTGTGGACAACTCGAGCGACCATGTCGGTCTGTCAGCAGCGTTCCTCGGTACGGTCGGTAGGGCCTGATACCATAGGCCCGTAGTCTCCTTGACACTATCCTTCGACTCACTGGGTGACCGAGTGCTGTTGACGCTGATGACGTTACCCAGGAAGCGGTGCCTACGGTGTAACGTCCACAGGTGGCGGTCTTCCTGCGCAGTTGTCACCCGGGGTCTGCCTGTCTGGGGCCTGTCTGAGGCCTGACCAGTCTGTTGGTAACGCCGACGACGAAGTTAACTTCGGCATTGTAAAGTGGTTTTCTGCTGCAGTACGATGTGCTCTCTGCTGTGAGGTGGTTTTATACCATGCATGCACGTGCATTTTAACCTCACTTGCAAAACACGTGTATTTTGCTGTTTTCGATGCAAAGTTGTCAAGAGATGCGTTTGAGCGCTGATGTTGGTCAGAATCGAACCCTTGTTGTTGACAATAACTATGGGTCAATTTGCATTTGATTATATTTTCTTATGTTAATATTATGAAACAATTTGCAAGAGAAAGTTTCTTTTGCCCATCAGTATATTAGAGAAGATAAATGCTCATGATGTTGATCACTGGGTTGTCTAATCAAAACTCAATTA